GCCGGCAATCAGCCGTTCTGCATAAGGCGATTTTGTTCATTACGAGAGCAGCCCATGGCTGGAAAATCGATGATGGATCGATACACCAATGGTCTTGCTAACACTGCCAATCCAGAGTGGGAATCGATCGAGGTCTGCCAGCTCAGCCGGAATGCAGCCTTGAGCATGGAATGTCGATCTTGAATATATCGCCAAAATACAGCTACTAAATTTAATAATAATTTGGCGGTGGTTCTTGTTCTGGTATTCCTCATGCAAAAGACGCTGCCAATCAGCCATGCATGCGCAGACCAAAAGTCGACAAAGCCCCAGATGATAGATCCAATTCCACAAGTCGATCTCCAGGAAGGGAGATGATAGAAAATGCCTGCGCCTCAAGGCACCTGTCCTTGGCCGGACCAGAGCCTTGGGAATGGGTACAGCCAAATCCACTAAATCACCTGAAAAAACAATAAAAAGTCATTAATTTGTCATTTACTCTAAACCCAATCAATACTCACCCAAACATATGATTCTGTACTCCTGTGGCCGGACCAGCACCATGGGAATCGGATTGGCCACTTCCTCAGCAGCCCCAGCTCACCAGCTCATCTGAAAAGAGAGAAAGAAGAAAATTAGTTAAACAATTGTCTGGCAATCAATTCACAGCTAATATACTGTCCTCTTTTTTATTCACACGGATGGAAGATTTGGCTCACACTGCCAATCCAGAGTGGGAACCGATCGAGGCCTGCAAGCTCGACTGGGAGGCAGCCTTGGGTCATGGAATGCCGATCCTGAATACACTGCCAAAATACAGCTACTCAATTTTAATAAATGGCTGTGGTTCTTGGCCGGTATCTTCGTGCAAAAGACGATGCCAACCGGCCATGCATGCGTGGGCCAAAAGTCGACAAAGCCCAGATGACAGATCCAACTCCGCAAGTCGATCTCCAGGAAGGGAGATGACAGAAAATGCCTGCGCCTTAAGGCACCTGTCCTTGGCCGGACCAGAGCCTTGGGAATGGGTACAGCCAAATCCACTAAATCACCTGAAAAAACAATAAAAAGTCATTAATTTGACATTTACTCCAAATTCAATCAAAACTCACCCAAACAAAAGATCCTGTACTCCTGTGGCCGGACCAGCACCATGGGAATCGGATTGGCCACTTCATCAGCAGCCCAGCTAATTAGCTCACCTGAAATAAAAAGAGAAAGGGAAAATTAGTTAAACAATTGTCTGGCAATCAATTCACAGCTAATATACTGTCCTCTTTATTATTCACACGAATGGAAGATTTGGCCAACACTGCCAATCCAGAGTGGGAATCGATCGAGGCCTGCAAGCTCGACTGGGAGGCAGCCTTGGGTCATGGAATGCCGATCCTGAATACACTGCCAAAATACAGCTACTCAATTTTAATAAATGGCTGTGGTTCTTGGCCGGTATCTTCGTGCAAAAGACGCTGCCAACCGGCCATGCATGCATGCATGCGCAGACCAAAAGTCGACAAAGCCCCAGATGATAGATCCAATTCCACAAGTCGATCTCCAGGAAGGGAGATGACTGAAGAAGCCTAAGACTCAAGGCACCTGTCCTTGGCCGGATCAGAGCCTTGGGAATGGGTACAGCCAAATCCACTAAATCACCTGAAAAAACAATAAAAAGTCATTAATTTGTCATTTTCTAAACCCAATCAATACTCACCCAAACATATGATTCTGTACTCCTGTGGCCGGACCAGCACCATGGGAATCGGATTGGCCACTTCATCAGCAGCCCAACTAACCAGCTCATCTGAAATAAAAGGAGAAAGGGAAAATTAGTTAAACAATTGTCTGGCAATCAATTCACAGCTAATATACTGTCCTCTTTTTATTCACACGGATGGAAGATTTGGCCAACACTGCCAATCCAGAGTATAAATCGTTCAAGGTCTGCCAGCTCGGCCGGAATGCAGACTTGAGCCTTGGAATGCCGATCTTGAATACATCGCCAACATACAGCTACTAAATTTTATAATAATTTGGCGGTGGTTCTTGTTCTGGTATTTTTCATGCTAAGTTGCTGCCAACCAGCCATGCAGGCGTGGGCCAAAAGTCGACAAAGCCTCGGATGATAGATCCAGCTTCATACGCCAATCTTCAGGAAGGGAGATGACAGAAAAAGCCTGCGCCTCAAGGCACCTGTCTTTGGCCGGAACAGAGCCCTGGGAATGGGTGCAGCCAAAATCCATCAAATCACATGGGAAATAATAGAAAGCCATTAAATTTACATTTACTCCAAATACAATCAATACTCACCCAAACAAATGATCCTGTACTCCTGTGGCCGGACCAGCGCCCGGGGACTCGGATTGGCCACTTCATCAGCAGCCCAGATAACCAGCTCATCTGAAATAAAAAGAGAAAGGGAAAATTAGTTAAACAATTGTCTGGCAATCAATTTACAGCTAATATACTGTCCTCTCTGTTATTCACACGGATTGAAGATTTGACCAACACTGCCAATCCAGAGTGGGAATCGATTGAGGTTTGCCAGCTCGGCCGGAATGCAGCCTCTGGCCTTGGGATGCTGATCTTGAATACATCGCCAACATACAGCTACTAAATTTTATAATACGGCGGTGGTTCTCGTTCTGGTATTTTTTAAGCAAAAACGCTGCCAACCAGCAGCAGCAGCGGCAGTGCCAGGGTGCTAGAGTCTAGAGCCAGCCGCTCTCTTGTATGCATACAGCATACGAAGGTACATGAAGTTGGTTCTCTGCTGCTGCGGCAACCGAGCCGAGTCGTCGCGACGACTGTTTGTGTGCACACGTATTCTTAAGCAATCTAGATCTGCCAGCATACGTTTTTAACAGCGCTTTGACCAATTTCCCATTTTTATACCCGTACTCAAAAAAGAGTTAAGGGGTATATTAGATTTGTGGTAAAAGTGGATGTGTGTAACGCAGAGAAGGAAACGTTTCCGACCCCATAAAGTATATATATTCTTGATCAGCATCAATAGCCGAGTCGATTAGCCATGTCCGTCTGCCGCCGCGCCGTCTGTCCGTCTGTCCGTCTGTCCGTCTTGATGAGCGCCTAGATCTCAGAGACTATAAAAGCTAGAGCAACCAAATTTTGTTTCCAGACTCATGTAATATTACACTGCTACAAGTGTATTTCAAAATTTCGCCCCGCCCCCTTCCGCCCCCATAAAGAACGAAAATCTGTGGCAGGCACAATTTTAAAGATACGATAAAACTAAAAACGCAGTATCGTAGAAAATGACCATATCTACCAGATTGCCGAATCTAAATCAGATCGGATCATAATTATAGCCAGAATGAAGAAATGAATTTTCTGTTGGTTCCCTCTCCTTCTCCAGCGCTGCTGACGCTACTGATTCTCTTTCTCGCTCGCACACTCTGCCGCGTTCAGTGCGCGAGCAACCCCTAGCGGAGGAGATGTAGAATATATAAATATAAATGGTACATGTACATTCAACATGTTAGATGTGGAATATACATTGTAGATGTAGATGTAGATAACAGATGTAACAAAAAAATCTAAAATTTTTTTTTTGTTTTATTCTAAAAAATCATTAGCTCAAAAATGTATATACAGACTGAGTACGGGTATAAGTAGAGTCGCGTCCCCAGAAGCGACTCACACGTTCCTTCTCATTATTTTCAGATTTGACTGGGAATTTGATTTTTACATTCCATGTCTCCGGTTTGGCCACCGGAATATAAACCAATTCTGGTTGAACCCTTCAGCGTCTGGCATTTAATTCCCTGGATTGGCATCGTTGAGTCAAATCTTCCAGGCTGAGCAGAGGACAGTATTGGCTGCTTGACAATCTTTTAGCTTTTTGTTGACTAATTTTTATCTTTTCTTTTCAGATAAAATGGGAATTCGGCTGCTCATTCGATTCCAAGGCACTATGTCTGGACCAAAGGAGCATAGTTGGTTGACTCCAGGTGACTCCAAAGAAGCCTCGACTGCAGCCGATTCCAATTCCAACTCCTCCTCCAATACAGGCAACAGGGGCTTATTAATTTGGGTTGACAATATGGCCAACTGTTCCTGCATGCTCCGGATGCTTCTAAGTGCTTGTAGTTGGTTTAATTGCTGCTCCTGCAAGTTTTTTTTCTTTGCTGATTTTTCCTTCTCCTGCTTCTGCTTAAGATCCTCCATCTCCTGCCGATGCTTCTCTTTCAGCCTTCCCTCAAGTATTTGCATCTCATTCCGATGCTGCAGTATCAGTGCCTGTTCCCTGAAAAGTGAAGCCAAAACAAAAGTATTCATTAAACAAATATATCATTGATATACATTAAAACAAGTGTGCATACATAATATTATGACGCGTGCCGTGACACGCTCGCTTCGCTTTTAATTATGTTGTTACAAAAGAGAAGGAGAGGAACTCCAAAGGAGCATAGAGCAAAAAAGAATGGGCAAAAAGTATGCATATGTGTGTATGTTATGTGTGTCAAAAATCACACTGCAGGAATAGAACCAAAGACAATATATGTATGTGTGCACATGCATACGTTTTTTACAGCGCTGTCGAAATATACCCTTCACTTTATAAGTGTAAGTTAATTTTGCAAGACGCTTACCACCCCAATATTAATAAACTTTTATTGTATATCCCTCCAATGATAATTTCTTTTAACATGGTATATTCGATAATAATTATCGGATATACTTATATAAAAGACTGCTCCCACCTACGCATCCTCAAATTGACTAGGCTGGGAGAACAGCCAGTAAGTATTGAGAAATATACAAAGCCACTAGAGCCGGTCCGATGCCATCGCTGCCAGCAATATGGGCATACACGCTCATATTGCGGCCGGCCATACATATGTATGAAATGTGCCGGCAGTCATGAAACAGTCCATTGCGAAAAGCCCAGATGCGTCGATCCGATATGTGCCAATTGTGGAGGGCAACATATAACCGCATACAGGGGCTGCCCGACCTACCAAAAGGCGAAAGAGCAGTTGTTGGACCGATTCAAGAAACAAATGGAGACCAAACAGCAGCCAATTCAACAACAACAGCAACCACAGCGTCGGCAACAGCCACTACAACAACAACAGCAGCAACACCAGCAACCATCACCATCTGCTGTCACGGCATCAACATCAGCCCTTGCTGCTGACCTAGACTCCTCTCCACCAATGGGCCTTCTTATGAATGCAACAACATCGGCACAAGCTGCCTCCATTCCAAAAATATTCCTATCAACAGCACTTCAGCCAACCCAGACACCAGTGACAGCAAGATTGCCATCCTCCTTGCCGGTGACAATGGTATCATCGTCGTCGACGTCGCCATTGTCGTCATCACCATCGTCGTCGTCGCCGTCACCACCGCCATTGTCGCCATCGTCGCCGTGGCCGACGCCGTCGCCATCGCCGTCGCCGCCACTGTGGACATCGTCACAACAAGATGTATCCAATCCCAACTCTCCGAACAATGGGTCATGGGCCTTGGACAATGATGATCTTATGGACGAAGATGCAGAATCGGACAACATTGAATACCACAGCGACCGCGAGGATGCCTACGAGGCATCACCCAGCGAAGACATGTCCATAGGCGAGGACGGCGGCGGCTATAGTGGAGACGATAGACAGGCTCCTAAAGATCACAAGGGCACCATATCACAGCTTGGAGAGCTCCTATCAAAACATGAATTCTATTAACAATATAATATATAATATGTCCATATCATTTCTCCTCTATATTTTCCAATATTATCTTTTGACACAATAATTAATAAAATAGAGATAAGAAAACAAAAACATTAGATATGAGATTATTTATATAGCCACTCCCTAGCTCATGTTTGCTGGAAATAAAGATCGTATAACGCTAATCCAAGATCAAATGTACGATCCTCACGTGCATATACGCGCAGTGGCGCCGGCAATCAGCCGTTCTGCATAAGGCGATTTTGTTCATTACGAGAGCAGCCCATGGCTGGAAAATCGATGATGGATCGATACACCAATGGTCTTGCTAACACTGCCAATCCAGAGTGGGAATCGATCGAGGTCTGCCAGCTCAGCCGGAATGCAGCCTTGAGCATGGAATGTCGATCTTGAATATATCGCCAAAATACAGCTACTAAATTTAATAATAATTTGGCGGTGGTTCTTGTTCTGGTATTCCTCATGCAAAAGACGCTGCCAATCAGCCATGCATGCGCAGACCAAAAGTCGACAAAGCCCCAGATGATAGATCCAATTCCACAAGTCGATCTCCAGGAAGGGAGATGATAGAAAATGCCTGCGCCTCAAGGCACCTGTCCTTGGCCGGACCAGAGCCTTGGGAATGGGTACAGCCAAATCCAATAAATCACCTGAAAAAACAATAAAAAGTCATTAATTTGTCATTTACTCTAAACCCAATCAATACTCACCCAAACATATGATTCTGTACTCCTGTGGCCGGACCAGCACCATGGGGAATCGGATTGGCCACTTCATCAGCAGCCCAACTAACCAGCTCATCTGAAATAAAAGGAGAAAGGGAAAATTAGTTAAACAATTGTCTGGCAATCAATTCACAGCTAATATACTGTCCTCTTTTTATTCACACGGATGGAAGATTTGGCCAACACTGCCAATCCAGAGTATAAATCGTTCAAGGTCTGCCAGCTCGGCCGGAATGCAGACTTGAGCCTTGGAATGCCGATCTTGAATACATCGCCAACATACAGCTACTAAATTTTATAATAATTTGGCGGTGGTTCTTGTTCTGGTATTTTTCATGCTAAGTTGCTGCCAACCAGCCATGCAGGCGTGGGCCAAAAGTCGACAAAGCCTCGGATGATAGATCCAGCTTCATACGCCAATCTTCAGGAAGGGAGATGACAGAAAAAGCCTGCGCCTCAAGGCACCTGTCTTTGGCCGGAACAGAGCCCTGGGAATGGGTGCAGCCAAAATCCATCAAATCACATGGAAAATAATAGAAAGCCATTAAATTTACATTTACTCCAAATACAATCAATACTCACCCAAACAAATGATCCTGTACTCCTGTGGCCGGACCAGCGCCCGGGGACTCGGATTGGCCACTTCATCAGCAGCCCAGATAACCAGCTCATCTGAAATAAAAAGAGAAAGGGAAAATTAGTTAAACAATTGTCTGGCAATCAATTTACAGCTAATATACTGTCCTCTCTGTTATTCACACGGATTGAAGATTTGACCAACACTGCCAATCCAGAGTGGGAATCGATTGAGGTTTGCCAGCTCGGCCGGAATGCAGCCTCTGGCCTTGGGATGCCGATCTTGAATACATCGCCAACATACAGCTACTAAATTTTATAATACGGCGGTGGTTCTCGTTCTGGTATTTTTCATGCAAAAACGCTGCCAACCAGCAGCAGCAGCGGCAGTGCCAGGGTGCTAGAGTCTAGAGCCAGCCGCTCTCTTGTATGCATACAGCATACGAAGGTACATGAAGTTGGTTCTCTGCTGCTGCGGCAACCGAGCCGAGTCGTCGCGACGACTGTTTGTGTGCACACGTATTCTTAAGCAATCTAGATCTGCCAGCATACGTTTTTAACAGCGCTTTGACCAATTTCCCATTTTTATACCCGTACTCAAAAAAGAGTTAAGGGGTATATTAGATTTGTGGTAAAAGTGGATGTGTGTAACGCAGAGAAGGAAACGTTTCCGACCCCATAAAGTATATATATTCTTGATCAGCATCAATAGCCGAGTCGATTAGCCATGTCCGTCTGTCCGTCCGTCCGTCCGTCTGTCCGTCTGTCCGTCTTGATGAGCGCCTAGATCTCAGAGACTATAAAAGCTAGAGCAACCAAATTTTGTTTCCAGACTCATGTAATATCACACTGCTACAAGTGTATTTCAAAATTTCGCCCCGCCCCCTTCCGCCCCCATAAAGAACGAAAATCTGTGGCAGGCACAATTTTAAAGATACGATAAAACTAAAAACGCAGTATCGTAGAAAATGACCATATCTACCAGATTGCCGAATCTAAATCAGATCGGATCATAATTATAGCCAGAATGAAGAAATGAATTTTCTGTTGGTTCCCTCTCCTTCTCCAGCTCTGCTGACGCTACTGATTCTCTTTCTCGCTCGCACACTCTGCCGCGTTCAGTGCGCGAGCAACCCCTAGCGGAGGAGATGTAGAATATATAAATATAAATGGTACATGTACATTCAACATGTTAGATGTGGAATATACATTGTAGATGTAGATGTAGATAACAGATGTAACAAAAAAATCTAACATTTTTTTTTTTGTTTTATTCTAAAAAATCATTAGCTCAAAAATGTATATACAGACTGAGTACGGGTATAAGTAGAGTCGCGTCCCCAGAAGCGACTCACACGTTCCTTCTCATTATTTTCAGATTTGACTGGGAATTTGATTTTACATTCCATGTCTCCGGTTTGGCCACCGGAATATAAACCAATTCTGGTTGAGCCCTTCAGCGTCTGGCATTTAATTCCCTGGATTGGCATCGTTGAGTCAAATCTTCCAGGCTGAGCAGAGGACAGTATTGGCTGCTTGACAATCTTTTAGCTTTTTGTTGACTAATTTTTATCTTTTCTTTTCAGATAAAATGGGAATTTGGCTGCTCATTCGATTCCAAGGCACTATGTCTGGACCAAAGGAGCATAGTTGGTTTAGTGTAAGTGTGTGCTCACAATAGTGTAGGCTGTCATATGTTGTATTGGCTAATTTCTTTGACTCCAAAGAAGCCTCGACTGCAGTCGATTCCAATTCCAACTCCTCGACTGCAGGTGACTCCAAAGAAGCCTCGACTGCAGCCGATTCCAATTCCAACTCCTCCTCCAATACAGGCAACAGGGGCTTATTAATTTGGGTTGACAATATGGCCAACTGTTCCTGCATGCTCCGGATGCTTCTAAGTGCTTGTAGTTGGTTTAATTGCTGCTCCTGCAAGTTTTTTTTCTTTGCTGATTTTTCCTTCTCCTGCTTCTGCTTAAGATCCTCCATCTCCTGCCGATGCTTCTCTTTCAGCCTTCCCTCAAGTATTTGCATCTCATTCCGATGCTGCAGTATCAGTGCCTGTTCCCTGAAAAGTGAAGCCAAAACAAAAGTATTCATTAAACAAATATATCATTGATATACATTAAAACAAGTGTGCATACATAATATTATGACGCGTGCCGTGACACGCTCGCTTCGCTTTTAATTATGCTGTTACAAAAGAGAAGGAGAGGAACTCCAAAGGAGCATAGAGCAAAAAAGAATGGGCAAAAAGTATGCATATGTGTGTATGTTATGTGTGTCAAAAATCACACTGCAGGAATAGAACCAAAGACAATATATGTATGTGTGCACATGCATACGTTTTTTACAGCGCTGTCGAAATATACCCTTCACTTTATAAGTGTAAGTTAATTTTGCAAGACGCTTACCACCCCAATATTAATAAACTTTTATTGTATATCCCTCCAATGATAATTTCTTTTAACATGGTATATTCGATAATAATTATCGGATATACTTATATAAAAGTACATAATATATTTAATACATGACTTCACATTGGAATAATTGTCGTTAGGGTATTCAGCGTGCGACGTCGTATTCAACGCCGGTATATAATTTCGTTTCTCAACTCATAAAAAGGTTTCCGTCCCGAAAATCGTCCGCTTAGCACAAGTACGCACACATACGCACTTGCTGTTCTGTGTGTACTTACACATTCAAGCGGATTCTATTTTTAGATTCGTACGCTCTCAAATTTGTGCGAGCGAGATGGCGCGAATTTCGTCGCTGGCCGAAAAATTGTCTTTGGTTTGTGCGTGCGTATCTTTGGGGGTGCTGTGGCTTATTCAAGCACTGACCCCCATTCCGGTTAATACCAGGCGAATAGGGGCCAGTGCCAGAACCTGAGCAGTGGCCCTCAGAGTGTGATGAGCGATCCCTCAGTAAAGTGTATGCTGAGGCAGGTCGCGAGTGCAAGTCATGCTCATTCCAAGGCGGTCAAAAGGTGACTTTCATCCCCTTCTTACCCTAGATTGGCCACCCGATCCAATAATGGAAGCAGGCAGCATCGACCAGTCATGCGCAATTGCATGAGGGCGGGCAATTTTTAGTAGTGATAGTGATAGTGATAGTAGTGGCTAATTTAAAGTCTGAACATTATGTTAAAGAGAGAGTGTGGGTAGGGAGTGTTGGGATGTAGGGAAAGTGATGTAGTGGCTGGTGGTTGGATTGGCTGGATTTAGACAGTCTGAATTGCATGGTCTGGGCTTGCCTGACTGCCTGTCTATCAACATATATGAGAACATAGGCCAACATAGAATGAGAAGAATTTAAATGGGAGAGATTAATTTTTTAACTAATTAATCGTGCGAACAAACAAAACAAACAAGCTAAAAAAAAGGTTGTGTTGCTACATCGAGCATTTGTACAGTTGTATGTAAGAGTGTTCGGGTGTCAGTGTAGTAATAATGTTATGTTATTATTTTGGAAGTGGGCAGATAATGGAAAGCATTTGTACAAATTGGCTTGGAATTGGTTGATTGGCGATCACGGGACGTGTTAAAAAACAGAGTTAAATCTCTATGACACGCCGGACAGGGAGAATAAAATTATAATTAATTATGTTTGCAATATTACAGCATACATATATTAAATAAAAGATTAATATTCGTTTATTCTTTTTCAGGTATTTTGTGTTAAGTA